AAAATATTATGGTTTTGACGTTTTGATGTTGCAACGATCATGTTGGCTGATGTTGTCTCGTCATGCTGAGGAAACTCCAAAGGAACCTTTAAATGTGTTGTGTTATTACTATCATAAACTTTTAAATCTGGATTTGTTGAATTTGTTGTTCTGCTCACATTTGAATGCTGCTTTGAGAAATAATCATATCTGACTTGAAGCAAGGCTTAATCTCAAACAAAGAAGGTCTTCGGTCGTCGTTCTGAGCCACAACAGTGCTATTTAGTAGGCATTCTGGAGGAATACGAACCCCAAAGTTAGTGTTTCCTTTTTCTCATCTTTCATAATAAATACTGCAGGACTTCCAAAGTTATTTATGGAAATGGTTGAGGGTTTGGCAACTGGGAACTAATGTGAGAATGAGACACCTAAGAACTTGTGTCTTCAACAAGTTTCAAGTGCTCCCCCAGAAAAGTAAGTACATTAAGGAAGCATTGAGATGCAGCAATACAAGCAGGGAACAACTACTGCTTGTATTTTGATGAGTGGGAAAATGGGAAACTGAACGACGTGCTTTGAAATTTATTTGTGCCTGACCCTGTATATCCAGACGCTAAATTCGGCCTCAAGTATGATTTTCAAATCGAGTCCCAACAGATTCGGCATTAATTGACCAATCTATTTCCCGGTAAAGAGATTAGAGATTGGGTGCCTTCTCCGGATCTTGAGCATTCTACTTATGCTGAATTAGCAACTGCTTATCTCAAAAGACTGATTGCATGAGGAAAAAACCTACTGGCTGGATTTTGGCCGATTGAGCATGTTCCATGCAGGTGGGAATGGGATTTCATCGGAAGACTTTTGTAGCTGTTGCAACTGGAACCACCTCAAAAATCTGCTCCGTGACTCTCCTTTGTTAATTTTTTTTCCAGATGAGACAAACATTGTCCCTATTATCATTCCTAATTTCACCCAAATTTGTTGTGCCGAACCAATTCTATCAGCAATTATTGAAAAGAAGTTAGACGTTGAGAATGGACAAGAATTCCTGCTGGTGATGGAGTGGAGGACACACCCAAGCCCCGTCCCTAGGAGGCGGCAAGGCAGGAGGGTAGGCGCTACCAGCAGGAGCTCTTGTCCATTCTCAATATCTAACTTCTTTTCATTAATTGCTGGTAGAATTGCTTTGGCGCAACAAATTTGGGTGAAATTTGGGGTATCAGTTGGAAACATACTCATATATGCAATGTCAAAGTTTCGCGAAAAAAAAAAACTCAATCGGGAGGGAAGATTTTAGGTTGAAAGTCGTTGGTCTCTTTTTTTTTTGCCATGCCCTCTATAATGGCTCTATATTGCTTCTCGCAGATACTTCGCAGCGCGTCATCCGCGCAATTGACTGTCGAGAATCTGACATTTCTCGGAATCCATTCTCACCGAAACGAGAGACTGAACTGATCGACTCTTCTTTTATCGCAGGAGCTTTTAGCCTGTCATCGCGTGCCGGCGGGAAAGGAAGCACTCCGCACCGAGCTTCTTTTTTTTTTTCATCCTTTACTTTTTAAACTGAATTATTTGGTGCTCAATGTGTCAGTTGCGTCATCCACTCCAGATGCACTCGAGGCAGAGTGCCAACGACCGGTTTCGCATTTCATTTGTGCAGCCAAATAAGTGGAATTGTCTGCTGATTCTGCCGTTTTGAGACCATAAGGACACTCTCGTATTGTCCTTGGCATTCGGTTGTGTCGGGTTTTCTTTTGCGTACTCATTGCTATTTATATTTTCGTTCGTAGGTGGAGCAGCTTCATTCTCCTGTCGTCCCGATTCTTTCTCTCTTCTGTGATCACAGTACCGAATCAGGTACTGAGTCGTACTTAGAACGCCGAGCCCGTTTCTCTCCGAGCGATCGGTGCATTAACGAAGTCACCCGATGTGCGTGCCGGCTCGTTTCAGCACGGGGAATTTGTTCTGCGTCTGAACTAGTGACGGAATCGCAAATGAACGAAAATTTATGATGCAAAAACTTCGTGGCGAATTTTGGCAGGCGACTCGCATCGTGTTGCCAACTCGTATTTCGGTGTTGCCAAATTGGATTCGGAATCGATGGTACTCCCTGCTTCCCATAACCCACCACCACCCACTTTTTAAAATTGCAGTCGACGCTCCATATAACGAACCTCTATATAACGAATTTTCTTTTAAAATATTTTTTTTTACAGTTCCCGGCCGTTTTCCCATTCACATGCACCTTGAAAAGTTTCTGTACAACGAATTGTTCTGTTTTACGAAGTAGTTTTTTCGTCCGAAGGAACAAAACTGTTCCGTATTACGAAGTTAAAATCTGCTGCGCATGTCAGAACTACTTTCCTCCGCGCATTCCTCGAAAATCTCATCTCGTAGCTAAATGTAGCATGTCCTACCTACTTGTTGGTGTGGCCATGGTAAGGGAACGAGGTCAATCGGTATTAATCTTCTCAGGTCTAGTCTAGAATTCTGCTCGGTCAAGCAATCGAAGCCTTCGACTGATTCTGGCTATTTTTCGGTCAGGCCGAATGTTGAGCACGAAACGTTTAAGCACGGAGTGCTCTGCAGACCAGGCTCGAAGAATTTCCTTCGAATGGAGAGCGTTGCTGACTCGTCCGATTTTTATTACACGTAATTTAGGTAACCATTTAGGTACATACATAACCCTTGAGAGCTGAATTTTTGCCATATTTCATGCGCTTAGACCTTCGCACTCATTTTATGAATGGACAACGACTTGCTTTTCAACACTAAGTGACATTTTGAAGTGATATTGACATAAGTTTAACAGATTTCTCTTCTTTTCTTTCCTGGGAAATTAGAGAAATCCCCTATAACGAATTTTCCTTATAATGAATTTATTTAGTACGTCCCTTTGAGTTCGTTATATGGAGCGTCGACTGTATTTGAGGCGACTCGTTCATCTTTTGCAAAATTAATGCAGGTGTCTGCACGCTTTTCCCAGGAAATTTATATTTGCACGAGGCACATCCGTCCCCCATTCCGAGGAAACGACTCTTTTTGGCGGAAGTGACAGGAAGTACTCCTATAAACGGTGAACATTTTTTTGCCGAGTTCGTTCGCGAACATCTGCAATTCTCTTCAAATCTCAAATTTAGCACGTCGGTCAGCCGAATGCACAAAATTGCGCATTAAAAAAAAAGAGGACGAAACAGAGCATTGTGATAATTTATGCAAGCGAATGCTCGGTAAGAGCATTCCATCGCGCATTTCCATCTAAAAATACACCGCGTTCTGCCGTCCTGGGTCCTTTTTTTTGCAAAGTGCAAGTAAAACACCTGGCGGAACTATGGTGCACTGTCACCTTCGCAGACGAGAAAATATCATAAATCAACCGAAGTTAGAAACGAGGCTGACTTCGATGCAGGACGCCGTCGCATGTTCTGGCATTTTGGCATTTTGTGTCGCGTGTTCTGAAGTTTTTTGTCGCATCTTCCGAGAAGGATTTCATTGCGTGGGACAGAGACAACATGCGGCGAAATCCTCTATTTGAGACTTTTTTTCCGCTTCCAATCGATGCGGTCCCATCCGTTCCATTAAGTGGCGTATATTAGGGGGATCGAATCGATCCGGGACGCCTTTTTTTTCTGGGGGGGGGGGGGGGGGGGGGGGG